CCTGATTATTGCCAGAATGTGTGTATACAGGATAACTTTAGTGTAGGTAGAAGTGGTGTTTCCTAAATTGCCTGTCAAGAATGACTTAATCCTACTTTGCAGGAATTGCCTGCATCAGTGAGACATATTCATTTCCATACCCATTCAATTAGGAGACTTTCTGCTGAAAATGTCAAAGAGATGCTAATTATTATCAGCTATGGTGATCCTTTAGGAATGAGACTGAGATTGACAAATCACGTAATTACTGAAGTTACGCTTTAGTCAAGGATTAAAGTGATGAGTTCTGCTCTCATTCTTTTTTTTTCTTTCTTTCGTGGCTTGGGGACCAGCTGTCACAGGCAGTCCTGGTGCTCTTGAGGTGATCGTTTTGTGTTCACTTCATCCTCTTTCAGTCTAGTTTATATGCTACCAACACTGTGCAAGGGCAGAAGCAGAAGAGGCAGTAATTGTGTGTGCAGCCTGGTTGTTTCCAAGAGAAACTGTCCTAGAGAAAATGGTAAGATCCTTGAGCAAGGGACTGATTTTAAGTTAAATCGTCTACTTTGTTAAAGAGAGACGGCAGAACTTGGAAGTCTGGTTGAATAACTCTATGGAGCAACACATGGTGCCTGGAGCTAAGCAGAATACAATCACAAAATTCTGTTCTGCTAACAGCGGGACTCTAAGAGGAATTTAGAGGACCTATGATAGCATTAATATCTGAAAATCTGAACATATATTCACAAGTCCTTGCTACTCTGAAGAAAAAGGTATCAGGTTAATTTTCGTTCAGAACAGAAATTAAAATTGACAGACTTCTGTGCTGTAGTTGCTAAAATCTCCAGGACAGGAGATTATTTTGAATAAATGGTAGTCCTTTGCTTGAGGATGATGTGCCTGTGTCCTTTGTAAATCTTTCCTGTTCCATTCCAATCCCAAAAGAAGGAAAGCCTTTTTTTTTTTCCTAACTGCAAATTATTTATTGTGAGCAAATCAGATTTACAAAACTGAACACGTTTTATTCAGTGGTACATGCCAGAAATTTGAGTGTTCCTTGAACCAATTTTAACGTTGATGATTGGTTTTAAAAATCATCGTCTTGTATCCTGATAATTCAGTAATGTAAATCTGATAGCAGTAGTGTGTTCAAACATGTTTTTCTTTGTGGTTTTTCCATTTCTGGAGTGGCTGGTTAACCAAGAATCAACCTTATGTATTATAAGCAGTGGGACTAATCCCATGGGGTCTGTGGCTATAGGGCTATATTTGCAAAAGACCCTTCCTATTCTAGTGGAATTTAGTATGCTGAGGACTACAAACATTGAAAGAGAAAAATATTTTTTCAAGGGAAACAAATTATCAATATTTAAACTAACAAAAAACAAGTGACAGACTTGACGCTAGTTACAAATAGGATAGAAATATGAGCAAATGAGAACACTGGTGTAGTCTTTCAACTGTAAATAGCAATGGCCCAGTTCTGCTTTCACCCATATTGTGTTAAACGTCAGCAACAGATCATTTGCAAAATACTATTAGAGTACATGGTTTTAAATTACCACTGTTCTTCTCAAAAGTATAGCAGTCATTCATATTGTATTACATAACATCAAAGTAACAAATTTCATTTTGTGAGAAGTCAAGGAACTTTACTTCCTTAAAATGGTGATGAAATTTAGACAGAAAAGATTTTCAGAATGAAAAACTAGGTTTATGTTCAAGACTGTATCTCATTTTTACAGATAATTTTGTGTCAAGTAAGGAATAATATTTTGCTGAAGCTTTCTTTGGCTTTTAGTCAAGTACTATTAATTAATTCATTAATAGGAATTATTTTTGGGGCAACAGTAGTGGGTGTGTGTTTAAAGTCTTACAGTGATGCATGATACTGTGAGTCTCAAGCATATGCCATCTTTTATTAGCAATTTTAACCTGAGAAGTAGTTTGGCTTAAAAAAAACCAAAAAAAACCCAAGCCTACGGTGATCAACTATATGAACCAGTCTACTACTGTTCCTAAGATTGCATTCTGCACGGTCTTAAGGAGAAGCCTTCATCTTGATAACATTAAAAGAAATATTCTCACAAAAAAAATTGTCAACTTTATTGCAGAGGTTTACTTGAATCATTTAGGTCAGTATTTTCTATTCTGCTTGGGTTTAGTAGATTAAAAGAGCAAAATTTATTTTCATGGGGAAGATTAGATTGAGGTATTTAGTGGAAAACTGAGACCCTTTCCCACCTGAAGTTAGCACAAATGCAGTACACTGCAAAGACCAACATTTCTCTTTCATCTCTCTCATTCTTGAACCAGTGAGACTGTTGTAGAAGACAAGCAGGGATTTGTGTCTACACAGCAAACAATGCTGAGCATGAGGGCCATGAGCACTGTTGTATATCACACGATTAAAAGCACAGAGACATTTATTTAACATCAGCATTAGGTAGGTTTTGTGTATGTGGCTAGCCTCTGGATCTACTTTTTGACAAAAGCAGAGGGTGGGAGGAGAACAGCAACAAGGAAGGATAAGAGCTGTGATAATAAAATTATTCAGGCTTGTTTGGTTCTTGGCAGTAAACTATTTTATGTGTCTTAATTAAGAAGGGGCTGACTTTAGGAAGTGAGGTTGGAACATATAGTATTGGTGTAAATGTTAGATGTACTACCCTGAACATGCGGCCACTAAATAGTAACTAACAATCATGAACATATTTTCAACATTTAGCACTTGAGAAGTATGCATAGCTAGTTAAAGTTTAGTGTGGACAATTGGGCTGTAAGTTAATCCTTTTCAGCATTTATTGTAGGCAATCTGTCTTGTCTATACTGGACTTTGAAAGTTGTTAATTAGCTTGTGCCTTGGAAATATGTCAGCTCGTACCTGTTGTCACCCTACAAAGATATGTAAGTCTGTGATGTAGTGTAGTGCATGATGGTAGAAGCTGAGATGTTCTGATATTTAAGCATATGCTTCATTGTAAGCAATAGTTGCACTGGCTCTGCGGAGCCTCTATTTACATATCTAATATAGCAGTGTTCTTCATCAGAAAGACATTTTTTGAGAAACAGCAAAAATGTTACTTGTGGAAGAAAATGTATTTTCTTCCTGTATCGTTTTCAGTAGATGTGGGTAACAACTGTAAAAAGAAGGAAGGAATAGGACCCATTATTTACTTTCTGTATTGAATCTCAAATTATGGTGGCTTTCATCCATGTGAAGATCAAACCTTCAAAACATTATTATTTAATATATTTCAGTTGAAATGTGTGCTGTTCTGGATATCATTATCCTGAAAATTCAAAGTAACTAAAGATTTTATTTTTAAAGCAGGCATACCAAATAAAAACAAGCTACAGTGTATTGATAGCTGCAATAAAAATGTCTGCACATCTTCTGAGTGCATTAATAGCAAGGAAAGGGAGGATTTTAGCTTAAGGAAGGATCCGGTTGTCTTGATATATGAGCGTCAAGTAGATAACTGTCAAAGCATAGATAAGATTGTTTATTAAATGTAGATAAGGCATCTTTTATGAATTTACATGATAATATAATTGTGAAGCAGGTGTCAAATAGTAGTTTACCCAGTTACAATGGAAATTAAAATTGTGGGTAGATGAACATGGACAGAGCCTACTTTACTTACTATCAGTGGAAACCTAGGCGGGTTATCCAGTTTTGGATTTTGAGGTGTTAGGAATTCTCCCTGTTTTCCTTTCAGACTGCAGCTACTCTTTGTCACCTTGAGAGGTTTAGTCTGAACCCAGGCCACCCGTTCGTCAGGTGGAGCAGTAAGCCAATGTTACCACCTTTTACGCATGGGTTTGCTCCAGATGGGTGATTTCTTGCCTCCCTGAACAGACATCAGGCTGTCCATCAGTCTTTCTACCCATTGCTTCAGGGAGTCTCCAGCAGTACCTGTAATGATTTATTGCCTGGAGGTCCATGGTAGCAGAATGACTAGTACAGTGCTTAATCACAGCAATAAGCTTCTCTCAAAGGTTTATCCTAATGAATGTTGAAAATTCATAGAAACATAGAATCATTAAGGTTGGAAAAGACCTCTAAGATCATCAAGTCCAACCATCAACCCAACACTATGCCTGCTAAACCATGTCCTGAAGTGCCACATCTACACTTTTTTTGAACACCTCCAGGGACGGTGACTCCACCACTTCCCTGGACAGCCTGTTCCAATCCCGGACCACTCTTTCAGTTAACAAATTTTTCCTCATATCCAATCTAAACCTCCTCTGACACAACTTGGTGCCATTGCCTCTTGTCCTGTCACTAGTTAGTTGGGAGACCAACGCCCACCTCACTACAACCTCCTTTCAGGTAGTTGTAGTGAGCGAGAAGGTCCCCCCTCAGCCTCCTCTTCTCCAGACTAAACAGCCCCAGTTCCCTCAGCCGCTCCTCATAAGACTTGTTCTCTAGACCCCTCACCAACCTCGTTCCTCTTCTCTGGACACACTCCAGCACCTCAATGTCTTTCTTGTACTGGGGGGCCCAAAGATGAAAGTATTTAATTGTTTTTTTCTTCTGGGTGTGTATTGCTGTCCATACTGCAGACCAATAGTCTGAACAAAGCCATGCAGTAAGCAGAACTCTCAAGCTCCTTTCCCCGTGCCAGGTGTACATCTTCCTCAGTTATTCTGTAGATGACAACGACTGACTTCAGGCAGGTGAAACTGGGCTCTGCAGGCTACCACTCTAGTTACTGTAGAGTCTTCAAGGAGGAGTGGGGAGACTGTCAGTGTATTCCTGATTTATAACTGCCCATCTTTCTCGCCACTGACTACAAAGAGATGTAGAGGGAAGCTGATCTTTCCAGTTTAAATTTGGTCTTTTTTAATTTCACTTTATGTCATCTGCTTGTTTTGACACCAACTGCTGTCAAATCTGAGCCCATCTTAGCAGTATAAAGAATTTAATAAAAATAAACAAAAATTATTTTAAGAATTGTCTTAATACTTCATATTCAAGTTCTTGTCAACTTTGATCTTGTTCCTTTTGGCAGCACCAGAACGAAGGCATTCCATTCTGGGTAGCCCAGATGTCGTTGATACTGCTCCAAGAAGAAAGCGAAGACAAAGGACAGCAAAGTCTGCCGGGACAGGAGCTAAGATGGCTACTTATGAGACAGAACTGCCAGCCAAGGAAAAGTAAGCAGTGTTCAAATGTATTGAAATGTTTTTGTATCTACAGATGTCAGAGGGTTTGTGGTTTGGGATTTTTTGTGTTTTCTTGTGCAGTTTCATATTTCAGACAGAGTACTGTTTTGTTGCATTCTGTATGGTCTTTTAAAGTAATTTTACCCAGCTTTGAATAGATGTGAATGATTAAATTGTCAGGCCCAATGACTTACTGATTTTAATATGCCTCTAAAGTGACAATTGTAATATTCTTTTCTTTAACTGACTTGGCTAATTTTAAGCAAACGGATCGAAGTACTAAAGCGGTGTTCTGTAAGTTACCATATAACCCTGCAGGCAAAGAAGGAGGCATTTCTAGCAAGTGTCAAACTAATGGATAGCTTCAACTAAGTTGTGTCACAGAAAGTAGTAGCATTATGAGTGTATTTTTTCGTGGTGAGGGTGGTTAAACACAGGAACAGGTTTCCCAGATAGGTTGTGGAGTCTTCGTCTGTGGAAATACTCAAAACCTGACTGGGCATGGTCTTGGACATCCTGCTCTGGTTTAGGATGGAGACTGGGCCGGGCCATCTCCAGAGGTCCTCTCCAACCTCACCATCCTGTGATTCTGTCTCTGTAATTTAACTGGAAATTAATTCGCAATATCATTTTTAACAGACCAGGATAGATTTCTTTTGAAAATAAGATCAGTATAGAGAAAAAAGGACTTGCTCTTAAACACAAGTGGGTCAGAATTTATAACACTAAATAAAAGTCTTTTTCTTCCTATGTCACTCTCGACTTTTGGAAATATTTTCACATGATCTTGGAGGTGCTTAGTTATGCATAGAATTACCTTAGAGCTGTAATATGATTGGTGGTATTTTCTTCAAAAACTGATCTTTTTTTAAGATCTATGGTACGTTAGTTTTGAAAATACGTATTTTCCCTTTTTATCTGTAATATCCAATGGATAATAAGCTGTTTAAACAGAGATGGACACAAGTAAACTACAAAGACATTTCCCGTTATTAGCAAAGATTTCTGTTTAAATCAGCAAGAGAACTATCTTATTTTGACATAGAATGTTGTGGCTTGAAGCCAGCTAGGAGTGTTTAAACTTAAAATTCTGTTTTATTAGTAAAAAAAATCGTATTTTTTTGGAACAGTCTAGAATAATGTCAAATTTTCCTCTTCTGTTCTTTTAGAGTCTAGTATATTACAATGAAAAATGCCCTTTGCCCATTGTATGTAGTCAGACAGTTTGATTTTGAGAGTCTGGCTGTGTTTGCCTGCAATACAATTTCACTCTTTTCAGTACTGATTGTGGAAGGAAAACCTATGGAGCAAAATGATTGCAAAGGAGAATATAGAGGCCTTACGCTGAGTAATCCTCAGTGTATGAATATTTGAGTCCTTTGTATAGGGGAAGAACTAAGAGGATATTGATATTTTTGTTTTAATCCCTTTAAGTAAGGCAAATTTTAGAAAAAACAGAGCAACATTATGTTTTTCATACTGTGCAAAGCATTTCTATTATGCTTACTGAAGCAAGTCAGAGCTGAATCTGAAGAGTGGCTCTTCTTGGCTGTAATTTAATTAGTCATATTTTAAGGCTTACCATACGGAACATCTGTTTTATCAGTCTTTGTCCCCATTTTTCTTTTTGCGTTAAGTGTGTATGAATTGTATTGTAAAAAACTGCTTTGCACTATAGATCCCGACATTGCTTGACGTGTGGCATGCCTTCCAGTACTGTGAAGGAATACCTGATGGTGAAAGATCCATGTTTCTCTATGATCTCCTGGTGACTGCAGAAATCAAATGTCATATTGCTCAATACTGAAATACGTTTTTGAATCCTTTCTTTAGTTCAAAATACAGTAGCAGTGCTAATTCTTAGGTTAGATAAGAAGATATTAGATCTCCCTGTTTACCTGGACAATTACAAAAGCCAAACTGTAATCATTTTCATTTGGCTGATTATTTTTCTCAGTGTCCCTGCTTCGTTCTTGGGATTTGAACTTCAGCTGAAGTCTTCTGCCAGCCACTAGTCAACCTTTCAGTCAATTTGCTCAGCTAATAATTTTCACTTCTCTTCAGCCTGTGAAAAGTGGGGAAATGTAAAATTAGCATCATAATCCAGTTCACAAATACAGATATTTCTTTTTACAAAAATTCTTCAGTAATTTGTACTGACGGAAGGCTAGATCCTACATGATGCAAAAGGTTTTATCTTAAGCCGATGATTACATTGGGGTCCTGCCCAAAATGTTTTCCAGTATTGTTTCACTTAACAAAAAATTACTAATCCAAGCAAACCACTCCAGCCTGCTTGGGGCGGCAGGGAGGCGGGGAGGAAGTTAACTTCTAAATTCCTTCACCTTTGGAAATGCTCCATCACAAATACGGAAGATCTAAAACCCTTGAAAGCATGTCATGCTTTTCTGTTTGGCAGGAGGATCAAATGACAGATTGTGATCACATTTGCAAATGCACGAATTAATCCTTATTTCTGAGCTCTCCTGCACAGACCTGTGGAAAGCTTTGATTCTTTACTCATGATGTAAATTCTTTAAGGTGCTGTCACATAAAATTGTATCTTACAGTTCTTTCTTTAACAAACTAAATCTTATTTAGAATTATTTTCCATTTGCAAGTTTTGCTGACGTCGGCAGTGCTTGTTTCATGTTTGCCAGTCAATGAAAGAGAAGTTACAAACCAGACATCCGGAGCATAATGCTGTCTTTATATTGTTGCATCGTAAGTCGATTGATACAAGATCCTAAAGCAGAAGAAAAAATACATCTTTACTATAGGACAATATCCAAGTTTTTATTTTCTTTTTGGCTTTCAGATCGTTTTTTGAAAATGCAGTGTTTTTCAACACAGTCATTATCACATAATAGGAATTATATCTTAACTTTTACATATTTCTCCTTAAGTATGATTAGAAAGTGCCGTTTATGCTTAAAGTTCAGAGCAGCTTAAGTAAACACTGAGTCATTAAAAATGAAAAAGATTCTATTTCCACAAATAGTTTAGATTTATGGATGTTGAGGCTACTTATGTATCTATTCTCTGGTCCTCTGGAATGAAAATATATTCTTAGATATGACCAAGAATACTGAGAAGAATGCAAATAAAAATCTGTTTAACATAGAAATCAGAGCAAAAGGAGTACTGCCTTTTTCATGCTTTGTTTGTGAGTGCAGTGGCAACAAAGGGAGTTGAATTGTATTTATCTGTATAGACATATAGTATTACTGTGACAATTTATTCAAGAATTAGATCAACATTTTTCATGAAACCTGGAAATGTGGTTTGGATAACGTTAAGCTTAGTGAAAGTGGTATAGACATGAGATCAGCGAAGAACTGAACTAGGATTTCTGGAAGAAGATTTACTAAATGAACTGTTGAATTATTTGCAGAGAAGATGTTCTTTAGGATAAAGTAGAAATTCAGAATAATTACTTGGTCAGTGAACTGCCAAGATTCAGGTTTATCCAGCTCTCTAGCAGGTTATTTTTCAAATTTGAGATATACAGTGAAAGGAAATGCTACTTTAGGCAGGCAGGTGTTACTTACAGTTGATAACAGTCAAACTGTGGCTCGCAAATTACAGATTTTTAAAATGTGACAAAGGATGGTTCTTGCAGTTCAAAACATGATTGAGTCAGGAAGTAGAATAAAATTATCGTGATTCCAGTAGAGTGTGATGGTATTGGTGAAGCTTTAACTGTAACTTAATAGGTGGCGATTTCCTAAGGTGCAAAGCAGAGATAATACGTAAATCAAGTTAAGATGCAAATTCTACTTTTCACAATTTGCATTTCATACTTGGAGGAGAAAAATTAATCAGAGAAATCCCAATCCACAGTTAGAAATTAAGCTTATTGATGCAGTACCCAAATCTCTCAGGGGACTGCATATGAATCACACTATTAGCTATTCAGAATATGCTGTCAATATAGAAGCTTAAGTGTATGGCCTGTCAGCCTGAATCGTATAAATAATTGGATGTTTCTATAATAATTTCTCTTTGAAAGTATTGGAATCTAGTTGAGAGAAGATAGTACCTACCAAAGATGACATTTTTTTTATGTATAATTTTATAAACTAAGCATAGTCTTTGATTTTGGAATACGTTGTGTCGCTTGTACAATCTGTAGTCACAAACTACAGCGGAACACAACCAGTGCTGGAGTCTTTGTAACAAAAACAAAAGTAAATCAGGAAAAAGTTTACTCTTCTAGTTCTAGCTTACAGCTATTACTTTGTTTCCACAAGTAAAAATCTGTCTGTCTGCTTTGGTTTATCAATTTATTTTTTTTTATTTAAAGAGGTTAGAAAAGCAAAACCTTTTTTTCTGTCTACCTGTTATTTCTTACAAATAAAGGGTTTAGTTTTATGGTCCTCATTCCCACATGGGTTTCCGAGGAGGAAGGCTTTCCTGGATAAGACTCAAAATTTCTTTAAGTTATTCTGCATGTTTCAAAATGTAATCCATTCCAGCTGCTGTGTAGTGTTTATAATTTCTTTGCTATTGAATGTGCACATACTGTTGGGGATATGCACAATTACAGAAGTGGTTTGGGGGAAAGCATCTTAAATACAGTGAAAACCTTATTATGGATGCAGATATGCTGGATTCTCCTGAGAGTAAGAGTAGAGACAACCAAAGAATGTTATTAAAGAGAAAGTGCTTCATAATTCTGAGAGGCAAGTGTTAAGAAATACTTTTAATTCAATTGACTGAGAAATAGCAGGTACTATTTGCTTGCCTTTTCTATAAAGAAATACATGTTTACAACAAGCATTGTGACTCTGACTTATTAGTTATTCTGCATGTTTAAAAATTCAGTTTCATGTGTATAAGTCTAATTTTGTACATTTGATGTAGCTCTTACTGTCTTTTTTTGTTTTTTAATTGAGATTTGACTTTGGTGGCTTGATACTTCTTGATTGATTGATAAATCTGAGTGACTGTCAGAACCAAGCCTACATTTCACTTGAAGTAAAGAGATG